GGCAGATAAACAGATAGACAGATAAACAAACAACACAAAACCCTGAATATATGTCCTTCCTCAGCAAATACCAATTTCTTATCTATCCCTGTTTTTCAAACCTTGAATGAAACTGCCCAATGAGCACACTGTGTAACAAGCACAATACAGACTAGCATCTGTATAAAAGGAAAGGCACTTAGTCAAATCATTAACTAAGATTCAATAAATTAGGAGGAAGAAATTAATTAGGACTACAGATTAACACAAGCAATGGAAAGAGAGAAAGACAGGGGGAGAGAAAAAGATAGGGAGAGAGAGACACAAAGAAATACTTTGGTGGAAAACATCAGGACAAGAAATAAGAAAATATGCAGTTTGGAACCAAACTATGAAAAACCTTGAACAAAAATCACAATGCTGTAAACAATAAGAGAATCAATAAATGTTTTATAAGTGAAAAAGGAAATACTCAGACTACATTTTAGAAAGATGAGTTGAAAATAACATGATGGACTAAAAGGTAAACAGAACTGGAGGTGTCTTTCAAAGACCTATGTATTAAAGGCTTGGACCCAAGCTTAAGGTACTATTTGGGTGGTGGAACCTTTAGCAGGTAAGGCCTAGTAGAAGGAAGCTAATCATTGAAGGTGTGCCCTTGACAGGGATATGAGGCCTCAGCCCCTTCCTCTTTCTCTCTTTACTCTCTCATCCATGAGGTGAACAGCTTCACTCCACCACATGCTCCCACCACAATGTGCTGTCTCACTATAGGCCCAAGAGCAACAGAACCAACCAAACGTGGACTGAAACCTCTGAAATAGAGCCAAAATAAACCTTTATTCTTTTTAAGTTGATTATCTCAGGCATTTTGTTATAGTAATGTGAAGTTGACTAACACATATACCAACAGTGTAAAAGTATAGTAAAAATAGACAATTCACTGAAAATGAAGCAGAAGTTCCACAAGAAAACATCACCCAGCAAGTGAAAAAGCCCAATCACCTACAAAATCATAAAATCCCTTGAGCTAAACTGCTTCCCATGAATGACAAGTGACCACCAATAAAAGATGAAAACATGAACTGTTTCTCTTTAGCAAAATATAGGAAGAATCAAAGCAGGTAAGAAGAAAACACTAAAACTTTTAAAGGTTGAGAGTGGAGTAGTGTGAGAAGGTATAACTGAGAGCCTTAGACACAGGGCTCTGCATTCACTCAAGCTGGCTCACCATAGTGCTCAGAAGAAAGGTCAGGAGCTGGCGTGGAGAATAACAACTGTACTCTTCAGTGGTGCACAGGCACAAAATACTGCCCGTTCCCCAGACCCCTGATAGCCACAAAAGCCTTAAGCTGATGCACAAAAGCAGGAAACTCCCCCAGGGTCCACTGGTCTAAGGGAACACCACAGGAAATATGGTCTGCAGAAGGGAAGGAGGTGGAGAAACTCTCTTGGGCCCAGGATGCTACAGGGATACAATCCAGTGCATAGATATTCAACATGCTAATAGTGTGAGAAGCAGAACCTACTCTTACATCCTCCCAGGACCAAGGCAGAGGCTAGGTGCTATGCCAGGAAGGAAGGTCAGGAATACTGAGCAAAAACCCACCTCAAGACTCAGGAGCATAGGTCCTGCTAAGACTGAAGCTGGACCAGGAAGCCAGAAACCACCACCACACTCCTATGACAAGCTAGCACTAAATCATAAGCATCACATAGTTTAATATTAAGGAGAGTGGACCACAGAGAGACAATGTCCCATGGTGCAGACATAACAGGGGGTGCTGAAATCTGGAGTAGGAACACTAAAAATGACTCTTGAACAGGTCAGGTCACACACTAAGCACAAGGGAGAACAGCTCTCAACGGGAGATATTCATCATGGTGTATAAGAGGAATTACAGAATAAGGAAACCCAATGAAGATGAGTACTGACAAAATTCAACCTACTACACTAGCAGCATAACCGAAAAAAAAGATATGCTCATGGCACAGACACTATTTATCTCAATCTCTACTGTACGTCTGGACACAATGTCCAGCATTTAATTTAAAAAATTACAAAATAGGCCAAAAAGGCAAGGAAACCACCCACTGTCAAGTGAAATACAGTCAACAAAGCCAGATCCAGAAATAATCCACATGTTCAAACCATTAAACAAGATTTTAAAATACATGTGGTAGGGAGTGGATTATGAGAAACCTATGAGAACCTGACATAAGCACAGTTGTGCTCAATGATCTACAGGCTGAGTTTGGCACAGCCCCAGCCGCAGAAGAGAGAGAGAGGAAAAAAACGCAACACAGCTGCTTCTTCCTAAGTTGTTTACATTCAGAGAGGTAAAGAGCATGTTTCTCTTGTTACAGTGTCACACCCCTCCCCAAGAACTGTTGCTCCACCTTCTTGTTTACCACTGGATATAAAGATTGGCTGAAGGAGGACACAGGGGTTTTTTGATGGAAGTTTTTTTGACGGGGATTTTAATTGGCTGCCCCTGACACTGGCTGCTGTGTGTCTCCACCAGAGCAGCTTTCTGCACTGAGAACTTTCTACATCAGCTTTAGAAAAGAAAAGTTAAAGAAAAGCTAAAGAGAACATGGGACAGTGCAAGTCTAAGGACTGAGACTTTAAGTTTATGTTAATTCGGTTTTTAGACGCGGCTGCTGTTGTTTGTCTGCAAGTCTGAGCACTGAGACTTTAAAAGGAACATAGGACACTGCAAGTCTGAGGGCCAAGACACAAAGAGAGGTTATGCTAAAGAAAAGCTAAGAGAAAACATGGGACAGAGCAAGTCTAAGGAAAGAGACTTAAAAGAATAGAAAAGAAGCAAGGTTTTAAAGAATAAGAGAAAAGAAGAGAAGTAAAAGAGGAGTTATCAGAGAAAAGAAGCAACAAGTCTTTTGTGCATCCCATCCGAGCACCCAGCAAACCTAGCCCCAGCTTTCTGCGTATCTGTCTTCTTTCATTTGTCCTTTCCGTATCTCTAGTCGCCCCCAGTTAGCCCAGTTAGGTTCAGGAGAAACAGGAGCTCATGAGAAAGCTCTCTACACCCATGATTCATCTGCTAAAATAACTGTGACTAACATGGTCTAGTGGAAGAGAGGACAGCATGCATGAGTAGATTGAGAGCTTGAAGAGACGCACACTAGAGGGGGAAAAAAGTCAAATGATGACAAAACTGTTTGTTACTGATTATCAGAGTTTAAAAATTCCTTCTATAAGTGTATCAGTATATTGGATACAATGAATAATCAGGAAACTTCAAAATAAATGAATTCAAATTACCAAAATTAATACATTAACAGAAAAAGAGTGAAAAGGCAAAGCACCTAAAAATTGTGGAATAATATTCTGCTGTTTAAAAACATATGTGTAACTGGAGTCCTAGGACAAGAGATTAGGGTAAAAGAAATATTTAAAGAGATAATGGCCAATCTGATTATTACATATTGTATACGTGTACTGAAACGTCACTATAGCTTATAAATGTATAAATTACTACATACCAATGAAAAATAATATAATTTAAAAAGATAATGGTCATGAGTTTTCAAAAAGTGATAAAGAACAAACTACCAACCCAAGAAGGTCATAGAATTCTAAAGTGGAAAAGCAAAAAAGACCCAAACATAAAAAACGGCCTAGACACATCACACTAAAACTGCTAAAAAACAAGGATTAAGAGAAAATCTTGAAGCAGGCAGGAAAGAGGAGACCGAGATAGACAGAACAGAGAGAGAGAAAGAAAAAGAGAGAGAGAGAGAAAGGGAGAGATCTACGGCCACACCACCCTGAATGTGCCTGATCTCATCTGATCTCAGAAGCTAAGCAGGGTCGGGCCTGGTTAGCACTTGGATGGGAGAGAGAGAAGGAACCATTATAGAGAACAGAGACATCAAACTTCTCATTAGAAATGATGCAAACAAAAGCACCATGGATAACATTTTGAAAGTACTGAATGAAAAACCTATCAACTCAGAATTCTATGCCCATCAAAGTATCTTTTAAAATGAAAAGAGGAGGACGATCTGAAAGCAAGCCTTTCCACACTCATTGCCCATGCCTCCAAGGATGCCCTGGACATACCAAAATCATGGCTCTAACACACCTGCTGGGAGTTATACACTCTTACTTTTGTTTCCATCACCTACAATAGAAATCGCTCAAGGGCAGAAACACAGCTGACTAACCTCTGCATTGCCTCGGGCCTAGGTTTGAGACTAACAGTACTGGGGTTCCAATTAGTGTGACGTTGATGATGGACGAGGAAGGAATGAGCTGTGGCAGATTTGGGGACAGGAGAGGGAAGCCAGAGACAGAGCAAGGCAAGTGTTTAGAAATCAGTAGACAGGAAGCCTGGACCCAGGAGATGACACGTAAGGCCTCCTAAGATAACGTCTCACTGACATATAGATGATGATGTCAGTGTACACTAAGAAAACAGCAGAGGGGTGAATGATCAAACTATGTTATGTGAGTGCATGGAAACAGCACAATGAAACTCCCACACTGTACAATTAATATGCACTAAAAAAAGTGAAAAAAAAAACCAAAACATCAGACCAGCACAGTTACTATTTCATGTTATTTCTACTTATTCAGTGAATATGTCTGGATAAGAGAAATAAATTAGGAAGGAAAATCCCAGTTTAACTACCTGGAAGATATTTGTAAAATGGAAAACTTCAAAGGCTAACATTGATTTTATATTCAGATGCAGGAAATGTTTTACAAAGTTGTGTGTCTAACATATCCAGTGAGAGGTATTAGATGGAGGAAGCCACTGGTAATAGGATTTTGTAGATCATGAGGAGGTTCAGCTAGCTCCACAACCCACAGTTTTGGACATAATGTACATATCCGGAAAACCCCACTACACTAACACAGTGACATACACTCGGAAAACCACAGAGATTATAAGGAGTTTAAAAGATGCACATTACTCAACAGTGACACTACCATTTTTTAGGAGGGTAAAGGTTATAAAATGGATGCAATGCTGTTTTCCTTTTGCTCTTACCCGTTCCTGGAGAAGCTCCACAACTTGCTGGACGCAGTCATTAACATCACAGGAGTCTGTTTTCAGCACCAACTCTGGGGCTTCCGGCTTTTCATACTCAGAATCAATCCCAGTGAAACCTTTAAAAGATACCAGATAGTACAGAGGTGGAAATTAAAATAGGTTTGTTTCTTCACTGCAAGTCTATGTTCAAGTTACTATTTGTGCTGCCCCCTCTCAGCAATGAGGTTATGGTATTGACATTTATTTCTTGGGATGAGATTTCAATTAAAACGTTTGGTTCTTCTTTAAACACATACAGTGAGTTCTCACTACTCAGCGTAGGTATGTTCAATAAAGTTGCCACAAATACTAAATGAGTGAACACTGAATCACTGCTCCTCAGTGAAATACAAGGTTAGGTTCCTGCCTGCCTCCAGTCAGAATGTTTTTGTCAACCAAACACCTCACTCTTCCATACGTGTATTTTCTGTCTCAAGATGACATATTGAACATACTAATTCACGTGTGCTGAACTCAGAGCCCACAGCATGACAACACACATCCGTATGAAGCTTGCCTAACACATGTATTTTCCCTGAAGCATACCAAAGCTTCCTTGTGCTTAGGAATACTACACAAAATATTCAACATGAAACCATTTTAAAGCAGCAAAATTACTCAAAAAGGCAAAAAAATAAAAAGCATGGTATTAAATAGACTGAAAAAAAGGCATGTTTAAGGTATGAGAACTGAAACAAGGTGACCAAATGTCACTTTGTTGACTTTGTCTGGACCCTTGTGCATCAAGTGAGTCTCATTTCTGCCACTCTGCTCTTGTCCATAAGTGATCCCAAAAGTGCCAGGAGTATGCACTTGAGAGTTACAAATACATTTTAGCAAGTAAGTGATTCATAAATGTGGAATCCATAAAGAATGACATCAACTGTACTTTTGTCACCTTTTTACTTTCTTTCTCCCGTAAGTAAATGCCTGCACTGTCAGTGAGGAAATAAAGAATTAATAGCACCGGGTGATCCAGAGCCTCTCAACTTCTACACAGGAACACAGGCCCAGACCTAAGGCCTGGGCATGCAACCAAGCTTGACAAGATTACTTCTGTCTCCCTGCAAAACTAATACTATGTCAAGTCAATCTGTCCAGTACATTTGCAAGGATTATCCATGAACAAACTGAAGCTCTGAAGGCTTTTTCTGTCATCAGATAACAATTGTTGAGGCAGGACAAATTAATAGTACTACTAGCTTAAAAAAAAAAAACGTAAGTAAGAATGTTAAACCTGTTATACCACCAAACCAATTCCACAATCGAATGTGATCAGTGTAGATATTAATCACTACTCAGATTTTCCCTATTGCTATGTGTAATCATGTAATTGCTGAGAAAGGAACAAATACACATTTCCCAGAATGGACTAGCTGAATTAAAGATACGTTATTCCTGTCTGACACCCCTGGTCAACCGTATGCCAATGCAAATTACTCAAGGCCTGTCTGCCTTGGAAAGCTTATGTCACTGTTAAGCCAGAATGGTAAACATGAATTTAAAATCATTACTGGTAAGAAGTACAATTAGTAAAAGAGTTCAAAAATATATACTATAAGCCTCTAGCCCACTTATTTCATTGTTTTTTTATATTTTACTTCTAGGTGTCAACTTAAGTCCTGAAAGAAAATATTGCATTACCAATATTCTCAACAGCATTCAGTGATGGGTCACAAAAAATTAACTGGGAGAAAAAAATCAGTCTAGTGAGAACACTAGGTGTGAAGCTCCGATTTTCAAACATGGCTACACACTGGAATCGCCAGTTTGAGGTACAGTTGGCACAGTTTTCACCATGTCAGTGTGTTGCAAAGCTAGAAACCAACATTAGAAGAGTTGGCTTAGCATTATAGAAACCCAGGAATTCTCCCCCTAGATAATTAATCCTACAAGTGATTTTGACAAATGCATACTGTAAGCAGAAACACATTTAAGTAGACAATAAGTAACTACTTGAATAACCATGAAATAATCTCGATATCAGAATCGCTGCCACAGGGATAGATTTACTGTCTAGTAAGTATCATATACAGGTCTGTAAAAGCCTGAGGTTCTCTAAATTCAGACAATCTTGTCTGTTCCTGTTTCCCACCACAGCTCTGAAACTGCACTAGTTGGGACCTATTAAGCACAATTCTGACAAGCAAATGATTTTCTTAAAAATAAACACCCCTGAGCCAGGCATTGTGGCACACACTTGTAATTCTAGCACCCAGGAGGCTGAAGCAAGAGGATCACAAGTTTGAAGCCAGCCTCAACTACTAAGCAAGATCCTATCTCAATAAAAATAAATCAATAAAATTAAATAAGCAACTCTACAATCAGGAACTTAGCACCATGGCAAACCTAAAATAAACCAACATGTATGAATATACTTATACACACATATTAATGTAAGGAACACTATCAATGTCTGCTCTGAGGAATGTAGCCAAGACTTGGGAAAGTAAAAGTAAAAAGAAAGGAGACTATCACAAACACTTCCAGTTACAGGGAACAAGCCCTAGTGACTCAAGGCCTGACGGGTTTGGTCTTACTCATCTTTGCATCTGTAGCACCAAATACATAACCTTGCTAATAGAAGGCATTGCTATGTGTACAAAAGCCCATTTTCCCTCCTCCTTTTCATTCCATCCCACAAGCTTTACTGTGTGTGTGACACATAGCGTGCTCTAGGCCACAGACTGTGCTAAATTTTAAAGATACTAAAATGTTCAAAGCTATCCCTGCTCACAAGGAGCTCACTCCAGCTGGGCAAACAAATCTACCTCTTTCGCCAAAGCATCCTTACAAAAATAACTATAATTAAAATAAGTAAAATGTTTAGACCTTAGGATCCTGAGCACACCATTTGGCTCTTCTGTGTCAGATGTTAACATGAAATACTGACGTGGAAACTGGCCATCACTTAGAGAGTGATAGAATTAAAGGAGTAACTTGGTTTCCTCCCACTGCCAAATTATTCTTTCAGTGAAAAAAAGTACCAGCTTGATGGGTGACAGGCAGTGGCTCTCACCAAAAACCTCAGCCTCCAAGTGGCATGCCTGGATGTCAGCCTTGCACACAGAACTAGGTATCACCTCACAGGAAGAATTTGCCTAATCTAATTAAGTATTCCCAGGTCCATATATAGAAGAGCCCAGGTTAACAAGCATTTTCCTTCTCAGGGCCAGAAACTGAATACCAAAATCTAGAATTCACAGAGCTCTCAGAAGCTCCTGTGATGGTCTCAGGATATTATACCCACTGCTGGGAAGGCAAACAAAAGTTACCTGCATGAATCACTTATCCCTAATCAGTGTTCACTGAGAAATCTGTCTTTAATCTTTTTTAATGGCCAGCATGTTTACATTAACAATAACAGAACTAATGTCAAAGGATGTCTGTAAGGTATGTAATATGACTGCTATCAAGCCAACAGTAGAGATAGATTCTAGATATCTCCTTCCATGTCTAATGTCCATCACAGTTGAAACCGTAAGAGCAGACCATAAAACCTAAAAAGCAAGGGGTATGTATTTTGAGGGAATCAATTATATGTTAATTCAATAATCCTATGTAGAATAAATAAAAGACCATCCCAAGCACGTGATATAAGTAAGAATAGGACATTACCCTTGTTAGCAAGATGATTATAACTCAGGCATTTTCCCTAATAGCTTTAGGACTTTCTATACTTTCACTGGAACAAAGCCAAGCAAGGGTGGTGACAGATGACAATTTAAAGCTAGATTCCTAATTACGTCATGAACATTTCACTGACTCTCCAAGTCCCAACTCTTGTTTTGTGAGAATTCCAACATAACCAGTAATACTCAGTGTACAATGCTGCGGCTAAGCCTGAGAGAGAACACCCTGAAACACCACTTTATCTCCTCCAGGGGACAGTCTGAGGGTCATTTAAATACTCCCAATCTCTTTGGAAAAGAGAAGCTGTCCCAGACATGAAAAGATAAAATATCTAAACAAAGAGAAACTGGGAAGAAAATCCTACTTGCCTTTAATTTCTCCTGCTCGTGCTTTTTTGTACAGTCCTTTGACATCCCTCTGTTCACAAACATGCAGAGGAGCATCAACAAACACTTCAAAAAAAGGTAAACTTGCACCCTCATGAATCTGCCTTGCATTGTTGCGATCCTTAAAAAGAAAAAAAAAAAAAAGACATGCATAGAAACAATAAAATGTGATTACACAAATTCAAGGTACAATATTGACATCAAGGATGAGTTAAAAACTGTTTTCCATCTGAGTTACTGAAAATGCATCTGGAAAATTTTAATTTATATTTTAAAATCATAAACTGAAATGAAATAAGTCCAAGGTGTTAGGTTGACAATCATTCTTCATAACAACTTTAAAATAGTGTTCTACAAACCCAGGATCCTGGGGAGTTATGGGAAAGAAAACAATGATGTGCCATGAAAACTTTCACCTAAATTGAACTGAGGGTCTTGCACTTACTAGGCAAGCACTCTACTACTTGAGCCACACCCCCCAGCCATTTTTGCTTTAATTTTATTTAGACAGGCTCTCGTGTTTTTTTGCCTGGGGTCAGCCTCAGACCCCAATCCTCCTACCTATGATACCTGCCTAGCTGGGATAACAGAGGTACACTAAGATACCTGGTCTATTAAGGTGGGGTCTCACTAACTCTTTGCCTTCAGCAGCCTCCAAATGTTATCCATTCAGTCTCCAACTCCCAAGCAGCCGGAATTAGAGATAAAAGCCACCACGCCCTACACTTTCACCTAAATTCTATGAGAAACTTGTGCCAAAGTTTGGCTGGACTGCAGGTAGCATCTGGTTTCCTTCAGCCTCAGCTAACATAAAGGCAACTTCACATGAGAGGTCCATCCAGAATTTTGACCTAACTTTTTTCCTTGCCAAATGCAAGTCCTGCAGCCATGTCTCCTCCCTCATACTGCCAAACCTCCCTATCCTGCACAGCTCCTAGTGCCCAGCTCTTCAGTGGGCACCTCACAACCCTGACCCCCAGTCTCTGGTAACCACCTCGACACCAGGTCTAAACTTTCCAGCACATTCTTCTTGTAGCCACCCTTTCTTTCTTGCTGGTCTTAACAGAGCTCTCCCTGAGGATGCTGCACATCTTGCTGCTCTCAAGTGCAAGCTCCACACTCACACTCTACATGTCACAGTGCAGCAGGACCGACACTTTCAAAGCCTGTCCGTGCAACCTCTGCTAGCCTTCTCCCATGCAGTTCATTTTAGCATCTGCCACCTTCCTTGTGGGCCTTCAGACAGACCACGCCTACTTCCACTCTGACCATGACCATACTTCCTGTCTTAAAAAGAAAGTCTTCAGGCATGAAAGTTCTCAGTGAACTCTCATACAAATTCTCTCTACATAACTATCTTATTTTCCCTGCCACTCCACCTTTTATATAGTCTAAGTCCTCTGCCTTTTCATGTCTTCCTACAGGACCTGTTCACCTCATTCTCTCTACTCCATCTGAAATCCTCAGCCTTATCCCTCTCCACTGGCTTTTTCTCCTGGAAATAACAAGTACAAGTCACTCTCCTTCATTAAAAATAAATTAACTGAGCTACGCATAGTGGTTCATGCCTATAATGCCAGCACTCAGAAGGATAAGAAAAGAGGAGTCCAAGTTCAAGGCCAGCCTAGGCAACTTATCAAGACCCTGTCTCAAAACAAAACAAAACACACAAATGGACAAATCACATAAGAAGTGTCCCTTCACCACAGGTTCTTTTCAGTGTTTAAAGTGCTAGGATTCTTGCTACATATCACACTCTACCTCTAGGAAATCCCACAATGTGACTCCCCATCATACTTCTGCAGACTCCATCTGGCTCCTCCTGCTTCCCCCATCTCTTAAACACTATTGTCACCCCCACTTCATCCAGAACCAGAACTGCTCACCTAGGGGGACTGTGAGCACTTTGCTAAGCTTCCCTCCCAGCATAAACTACAACCCATATACCAATGCTTCAGCCTGAGTTCCGAGGACTCTCCTGAAATTAAACACACGTTCCCAACTTCTCCCAAATACACCCACCTGGATATCACACAGGGGCCTCAAACTAGCATCCAAAATTGAATCTATTCTCCTTTCTCCCAAGCTTGCACTCACTCTTACACTGCCCAAATCAGGAATGACATACCCCTCACCCACAATCCTCAGAGCTGTTCTGGTTCCTTCCACATTCACTGGCTCACAAAGTCCTTCAGATTTCACCTCTCCATGTCATAACAACCTAGCCTGTTCTCCTTCCCTACTCCCTAGCTCTACCCCATTTCCCTGGTCTGGAAAATTCTAGCATCCTTTTACCAGTCTTCCAGCTGCTCAAGCTATACCCTAAACTGTCCTCAGAATGATAGAAGATAAAAATCTGACTATCTTACTAAACTCTTCAGAGACTTCCTGCCACCATCAATGCTCAGAAACTTGGATTGTACAGCCCTCTCCCTGCCCTCACCATCTGCGGTCTTGTACTTGTTGTTCTATTAATAATACCTGATACTACTAGATACTATTTTTAGAACAAAGATGACCAGTTTAGTGACTGATATAGAGGCAGACCAGATCTTGGGGCTGGAAGAGTGGCTCAAGTGGTAGAGTACCTGCCTAGCAAGTGTGAAGCACTGAGTACAAACCCCAGTACCACCAGGAGGGAAAAAAACAAAAAACTTAAGTCCAGCTCTCAAGCCTACCAACTTTGCTTTGCTTAGCTCTACAATCAATTTTCCAATAGATCAGTTATAAGTTCCACTTACACACTCTTCTAGCACTTCAAATTGAACCCAACTCAAATAAAATAAACCTCTCTTCCCTTCCTACCCCGTATTTTCTAATTCATCATAACACCCTCCATTCAGAAAGCACCATCCTTCATTCCCCATGCCAATATCAGCAATCAACAAGGTACCCAGTCCTACTGATGCTACAGGTTCAAGAACCTAACCACATCCTGAAATATTCCTTTTATTCCCTCTGCTGCTGCTGCTCCAGTTCACACCCTTCCCCCGGATAAGAGCTGATACTGCACAAGCCTCCTACATAGCCTCATACCTGCAGACCTTCTCACTCTAAGGTTGGAGGGTGATCTCACTCAAATACACTCCCAATAACATCATTTCTATTACTATAACCCCAAACTGCGAACTTCCTGGGGGACAAAGTCCAGAGTAGTCCAGAGATCATTATCTGACTTCTGTTAATCACTCTAGCTTCATCTCTCCTCACAATCACTCTATACAGCAGTCACACAGACTCATCTATTGATAGCGATCAGTTATCTTATCCAGTACTGTCTTTACTGTCTGAAACAGTGTTCTCTCTGGTGTACTTTGACTCATTCTTCATGACTCACTTCAAGCAGAACCTCCTGTTCGAATCTTCCAACCATCTTTTATCATATCATCCTAATCACCTGTCTCAAAATGTTGCAACTATTCATGTCTCTATGTTCCCTGGTGGGAAGATCACCAGCTCTTTAAGGATAATAACAATCAGAATTTTTTTTCAGAACCAAGATGCCCAGGTCAGTGATTGAAATAGAAGTATCCAAAAACCTCTAATGAATAATCATGATCATGACTGGAAAGAAAAATACACATTCCCTGTATTAAATGACTCACCCTAAATACAGTCCAAACCTCATTCTTAGTGCTTTTACAGATGCAGTCAACAAAGATTTTGTTCCATACTATGGAAACAAGGAAGGCAAAAAGCAGATCAGCATGCACTTTTAGATGCCCAGGTCTCAGGTGGCAGCTCTACAGATTAGCTGTTACTGACTTTACCACTTCCTGAGAGTTGCAAAGATGCACAGAAGGTACAAGAATATCACTGTAATTATGTTTCCTTAAACTGTTCGTCTCCAAGGACTCAGGGAGCCTAAGCAACTCTCATTCTGCTTACATATTAACTGATAAACATTGACACTAATCCCAAGTTTCCAGGGAAATAAAAGGTGAGTAGAAAACTTTTCCTCCAGGAGTATTTTTTAGGACTATTGCCTCAGTTCAATTAAGTGAACCTATGTGATTAACACTCAATCAGATACTTATGTATCTTTTAGGTCAACTTTCGTTTTTAAAAAAAGCCTAGGTAACCAGGAAAATGTGTTCTGATACAGTACTAGAGATGTGATAGTACTATTTATTACATTATTGAATATTTATCACTTGCTAGGCACAGTGCTGAGGGCTTTGCGTGCATTGCTTATGGAATCCTCAGAGCAACCCTGTGAGGTCAGCATCATCTGAGCTAAGTGAACTGCCAAGGCCATGGCAACAGTAACCGGCAGAGCTGAGATCTCAGCCCACCTGTGCCTGACTCCAAAGCCCCTACTTTTAACCACTATATAAATCTGGTTGTTTGATATCTGGACTTCCCAATGGAATAAACTATTATTCAGCAAATACTACCGGCCTACTATATTCCAGGAGCTGGGTGTGATATCAAAATTAAAAAAAGATAAAAAAGACACAGTTCTAACACTCAAGGAACCGATGGTGTCTGGAGGCGACTTAGTAGGATGGACAAAGGGAGGGTCCTGGAGACACACTGTCTGGGTACAAATCCTTGCTCAACCAGCAGAGTGTGTGACTCTGGGCCATGTACATCTTACCTTGCTCACATCTACCTCCCTCCCTGCAAGATGAGAATTACATGGGTCAATTCACATAAAAGCACTTTACAACATACCAGTACTCAGTAAGAGTTTGATAAATGTTAGCTCTTATTAGTAGCATTATTATCACTACTGCTACTATAAGCCACCACCAGTGAATTAGGATACTATAAAACCATGTTTTAAGGAACAATAGCAAGGGCACCAAAGACAGGTGCCCAAAAAGACTGAGGGAAGAAGGAGGGTGCTCAGAAGGAGAAACCCCTAAGATTAACAGAAGTACACAGAAATACACACAGAGGTGAAATGATGCTGAGAATAGAGGGACAGGAAGGAGAAAAGTGCCTTCTGTGCAAGAGAGAAACAGAAATCCTGGGGTGAGAAACCACATGATTTTTTCAGAGAAATACAAAAAAAGTGATTTGGTGTGGCTATGGTCTTTAAAATAAGAGAAAGAGCTAATGAGACCAAAGAACCGTGAGGAAAGAAGTCATGAAAGGCATGTGTGAGAAACTTGGTTCTTCCCTGGTATCTGACACTGTCCAGTATTCATTGTAGGTTTACAGAACTCGAAAATCAAGCTTAAAATAATTTGGCATTGATGTGAATTCAACAACTTGGTTATACTTTGGGTTACTTTATAGCTAAAAAAAAAAAAAAAAAAATCACAACACAGAAATGTTCAGGTTACTTGGATTTAGGGGGGAAAAACAGATTTAACCTCAAATTCGTGTTAATATTTAAATTATGTGCTTTGCCTAATACTGTATTTTCAGTAAGTGTAATCAGAACAGCAATGGCACAAACACACACCTGAGTGTATGGTGATATAAAACTTGTGATACACACTAAGCCAGCATCTGCAAATAGCTTAGCGACTTCCGCAATGCGTCGAACATTCTCTTCTCTGTCTTCAGGACTAAAACCGAGGTTTTTATTCAGACCTTGACGAATATTGTCACCATCCAAAGTGTAGCATGGAATGCCATGGCAAACCAAGCACTCCTCCAAAGCCATGCTCACTGTAGTCTTCCCTGCTCCAGACAGTCCTAAAACGAAAGTCCAGACAAAGTCCACAAGCACAGTTAGAGGGACAACAGCTTACTAATGAAGAATTTTAATAATAGGCTTAACTGCATTCATTATTCATAGCAGCCTCTCAGTTTTTACATAATAAATATCACTGATAAATTTCAAAAGGAGTTTTCTTATCAGGCATGGTTGGCTAGGCATATTCACTTTGTTGTTTTGTTAACAATACTCTGCTCAGTGACAGAAACAGTCTCAAAAAGGTTAGGCTATTTATACAAACATACACAGGTGATATGATCATGGGTGCTGAGGTCATCTCTCAGAAAGTTGGAATTTGAGGATACAGAAGCACCATCAACCCGTGGGCATAAGAAATGGAGTACTACTTAGCTAGAGTGCAGAAGCATATGCCCAGTATATTAATGTAATACCAATCCAAACCCCTGATTTATTCTTTCCCACTTTAAAGACACCCCAAGAAACTTACCTGCCCAAGCCAATGGAATCTGGACATTTGTTTTATCATCCTTCCAACCTAAGCTACATACCAAAATCTTTTAAAACAGCTAAATGTCCAAATTACATCTGATAAGGAAAGAAATGGAAAGGACAAAAGTAAATGCAATACTATGAAATTACCTTCATATTCCAGGATCATCAGCTCTCACAGACCACTATGGAAAGAGCATCTGGGAGGCCAATTTGCAATGCAATTAGCCTTAACATAGTAGCCTCATTTTAACTCACCCTCCTCTAGCAATGGTGTATATATACTAAACAGAAAGAACCTCGTAATATGACCTTATCTGGAAATAAGTCTTTGTAGATTAGGTTAGCCCATAAATCCAGTAACTGGTGTTGTTATAAAAAGGCCATATGAAGGGTGAGGATTGTAACTCAGAGCTTGCCAAGTATGTTCAAGATTCTGGGTTCAATCCTCAGCTCTACAAACAAAAAAAAGAAAGAAAGAAAGAAAGGCACGTGAACACAAAAGCAGAGATTGAATTTATACTTTTATAATCCAAGGAATGCCAAAGACTGCTAGGAACTAGAAGCCAGGAGAGGGGAACAGAATAGATTCTCCCTTAGCACCTCCAGAAGGAACAAACCTGCTATACACTTGAAATCAAGACTTCCAGCCTCCAAAACTGTGTAACAGAATAAATTTCTGTTTGAAGCCGCCAGTTTGTGGTTAATCTGTTACAATAGCTCCAGGGAACTAACATATCAACCAAGGTAAAAATGCAAAATAAGAAAATGTATCTAAAACAAAATCTGATAAACTGTCTAGGAAAAGTATTTTAAATCAATTAACACCTTGGACAGATCCTGGCTGAGCAATTAAAAAGAAATCATGACTTCCTTCTCCAACATCATGACCAAAAATCAATGAAGGTTAGAGAAGATTTGACCACAAACTAGATAATCTGAGCTAATGAACAAATACAGAATATTACACACCTCAGGGGGAATATGTACTCTATTCAAATACACTTTTATTACAGGTTTTCCAGGTCTGCATATAAAGAGACTTGAGAGTCACCACCTGCCTAACAAGCAAAAGGCTGAATGAACTGAAAATCAATTCTTGGATCCAGAAGAGTGGGGAAGACACAGGCAAACCACTACCCCCAGGGCTGAGGAGCCAGGTGGACGTACAGAGGTACCTTAATGGAACAGAGACTAAACAGCAGATAACCGCTGAGGGACCCAGTGCAGGGATAGGAAAGACCCACACCGTAACTGATGAGGCTCAGCGCACACAAGAAAACCTCCACACTCTTTGTGGGTTTGGGCTACAGGAATTCAACCAGTTTCTCACAGTAAATACTGGAGAGAAATCCGCTTGTGATTCTGGCAGGGGGACAAAAAAAGGATCCATATTGAAATATATGAGAGCACTGTTCTTCATAGCAAGGCCTACCTCAGGAGACACTATTTAACCATGTAGAAGAAAGGAAATACCCACTGCTCACTCTAGTCATCCTGTCCCACACAAAGGGAGGGGAGTGTGCAACAGAAAGCTGTTTATAAAATAAAATCTGATAAAACAGTATTTGTAAACATTGTTAGTGGTAAAAAAAAAAAATCGTATATACCATGTTCAAGAAAAAGTATTCAACTTTCCCCAAAATTAATCTTTCAATACAACATAATCCAAACTAAATCCCAACTGGGTTTTAGGAAATTGGCTAAATCCATTATAAAATTTATACAAGAACAGAAGAGCTGGGAAAACAAAAAAAAAGGAGTAATGAAAAAGAGTCTTGACATCATGATGAATACAATAAGAGGACTTTTTTACCGTCTTTCAAGACTTATAGAAATGGATAGCAATTAAGGCAGGATGTCAATAATAAAACAATGGACAAATATAACACTGGAACAGGTCAAAGGACCCACATAACAAATCCACATGTAAGTTGAGACCTGATATATTATAGAGCAGGCACTATAGAACAGAGGAAAAAGGATACCCAAATCATACTTATACTTGGGAGGGTGGGTAAAGAATGGATTCCTCCTTCATATCCACCAACAAAAATCAATCACAGATGAGGACTTAAATGAGTAAGGCAAAATTTCTAAAACAGAGAAGAAATAATTCTTTAGGCATCAAATGGAGAAAGGAAAAAAATCCAATTATCCACACACTTCTTCACAGCCACATTAAACAGCATTTTTAAAATTCAAAAAGTAAGTATGGTACCCTGCCAACCTGTCTAAAAGATAAGCGGGTGTTTACAAACATAAACTCCCAGGGAATTCAGATCCTAGCAGAAGATCATCTTGCAAAACTACTTAACAATGGGATACAAACTATTATGACTTTACTCAAATAAAGAGCTCAGGAAGAATCATACTATAATAAAAGAACTGGCAATGAGCTAGTGACTACTGAATCAAGATAGTTATACAACTTAAAAACAAACCAATATAAAAATTTAAGATGTTTGAACAGAATATAATTGTTACAAACACAGGCAATACAAGAGTAACGTTGAACAAGTATTTAGATCAGACTTAAGAATGGGGGGACAGGAAGAATTTGAGCATGCTATGAAATTGAAACACAGAATTTAAAACAAATATTTTTTTTCTTGTCAATCAGCATAATTCTAAAGGACTGGCAATACCCAGTATTGACTAAGTGGAAAATGGACCCTCTCTCACAAACCAAAATAAAATTTTAATTGGAAATTTGTAAGATGCATCAAAAAATTTTATTAAGTACAATTCCTAGATGTAAAAGAATCCATCATTTATAATGTCACCAAAAATTAGGATCAATTACCTTCACCAGCCTGCTACACTAAGCCCAAAGAAGGATTCTAGGAAAATCAACACAGGAATCAATCAGAGGTCAAAGCAAAAGATGAAAAACAGAAACTAATTATATGTAATTCCCTTAACACTCAATTTTTCTTCAAACTGTTAACACTGTTAGCTTCTTAAAGAAACCGGGTCTTATTTGCACTCAGAAGTTTAGAGAATTTAATGCAGTATCTACTAAAAGATTGTTTTAAGATGGATTCTGCCTTTAATCTTTTACTTTATTTAACAGCAATCCTGTAAAAGAACAAAAGGAGTAACAGTAAATGTATTATTATTAAGGAACTATGTCAGTTATATATTGTTCTTGCTCCAAATACAAGAACAGAGCTCAAAATATAAATATGCTTACCTTTAGTAAAATAAGCATTGTTTTTTAAATAAACTGATTTATCTCTCGACCATACCTGTTAGCCACACTGTGCAACCACGAAAGCCACCTCTGGTCCCCACCACCTGACCTCTCTTGTTCCTACTGACATGGTGGGCTTGATAGGTGACATTAGTTGCTCTCTGCATCCCCTATAGAAAAAGAAGGAAAAAAATCTGGTTCACCTGAGTCCTATAAAAAATAAACATATTCCTTTGCCAATATACAGCCCTATGTAACACGCCAAAAGCAAAGGAAAAATGATATCATTGTTTTCTTTAGACTACTGGCATGTTTAATACTTTAGATGCACCAATTAATTTAATCCTGACAGGTACTCGCACTACTATGGTTTTATGAATGAAAAAGTTAAACCCCAGAAAATTTAACTGCCCAAGACCCCATAACTAGTGAGTGGTAGACTCCAGTACCTAGACTTTTCACACATTCATTTTTTTTAATCATTCATTCAACCAGCATTTACTGAAGCCCAACTAGTAGGCTAAGTAAACAAAGTAAGGTAAGGTCCCTACCTTCAACTGGAAGAAAATGTAAACTAATAAAAGTTATTCAAAGCATCACAGAGTAATAAAACTTATCCATAGTACATAGAATATCGTGCAAAATTAAAAGAGGGTAAGAAAGGAAAAAGAGGCAAAAGGTGAGGGCCACTTTCAGCAGGGTATCAGAACAGCCCTGAGAAAGCTGCACCTGAGGAGACGCCCAAATGAAGTGTGGAAGGTACACATGCAGGTATCATGAAATACCTATTTCTGCAATGAAAAAAAAAGTGAAATGCACTGCTCATAACTTGACATTCTCCCAAAGATTCTTCCCCTTCTTAAACAAAAAGAGCATGAAGTTCCATAGGCCTGCAAGGATTTGAACAGACTTTTCCCAAAGAAGACAGACCAATGGCCAAAAATTGCATTAAATGATATTCAGTGTAATTACACACCAGAGAAATGCAAATCAAAACCACAATAAGTATCATGTCACACCCACTAAGAGAGCTGCAGTAATAAAGAAGTTAGGCAATAACAAGTACGGTATATTTTGTAATTATGCAAAATACAAAATATAATTTCTTCACATTTGAAGAAACTGGAATCCTCATACATTTGCTGGTGGGAATATAAAACAGTAAAGCCAGTTGGAAAACAGTCCCTTCAACTGTTAAAGACAGAATCACCATGTCACCAAGCAACTACCCACTCCTTAACATATAGTTATACAAACATTATCACATAAAACTGTACGTGCTTGCCCAAAGCATCATTATTTACAAGTATCAAAAGGTGCAAATAACCCAACTATTAGTTGTCCATTGACTGACTAACGGTTAGGTAAACAAAAAGTAAACAAAGTTGCATGGTATCGGCATATGATGGAATATTACTTGGCAGTAAAAAGGAATGAAGTACTAGTATGCTAAACGTGGATAAACCTCAAAAGATTATGCTAAGTAAAAGAAGACAAACACAAAGACTACATATTGTTTCATTTTATTCATCTGAACTGTCCAGAATAGGCAAATCTGTAGACATAGAAAGATTAGTAGTTATCTTGGCTAAAGAGGTTGGGGGGAAATGGGAAATGACTACTGGTGTAGGGTTCTTTTGGGAGGTAATGAAAATGTCCTAAAATTGACTACTGTGATGGGTGGAAAAATCTGTGAATATCCCAAAAACAACTGATTTTTTTTTTTTGGAAGTACTTGCTAAGTAAATGCTCTACCAGTTAAGCTAGCCCTTTTTGCTTTGATTTCCAGACAGGTTCTCACATTTTTGCCCAGGCTGGCCTAAAACTGCAATCTTCCTGATCACAGACTCCCAATTACCTAAGATTACAGGTGTGAGCCATGGATACCCAGCTACACTTTGTATTCTTAAGCCAACATCTTCCCTACCTCCTGCCCCCTTCAGCCCTTGGAAATCATCATTCTACTCTCTATAAGAATTCAACTTCTTTGGTTCCACATATTAAGTGAGACCATGTGATACTTGTCTTCCAAAGCCTGACTTATTTCACTTAACATAATGCCCTCAAGGCTTATCCATATTGCCACAAATGACAGGATTACATTCTTTTTGTGGCTGAACCGTATTCCGTTCTGTACATGTACCAAATTTTCCTTTTCCAGTCATCTGCTCATGTACACTTAAGTTGATTCTACAGTTGACTACTGTGAACAGTGCTGCAATGAACAGAGTGCAAATAGTTCAACATACAGATCCCATACCCTCTGGCTATCTATTCAGGAGTGGAACTAGTGCACCGTATGGTACTTCCTATTTTGAATTTTGAGGGGAAACTTCATATTGTTTTCCATACTGGCTATACTGATTTGCATTCCCACCAATCGTGTGCCAGAATCTCCTACTCTCTACATCCTTACCAACATTTATCTTTCATCTTTCTAGTCACAATCATTCTGACAGGTGTGAAACATTTCATTTTGCTTTTGATCCACAATTCTGTGGATGATTAGTGACGCTGAACATTTTCTTCATACCTGTTGGCTGTTCGTGTATGCTTTCTTTTAAAAAAAGGTCTATTTAGGTCCTCTGCTCATTTTTTAATTGGACTGATTTCCTGCTATTGAGTTGAATTTCTCACATATTTTGGGTAGTAATCCCTTATCAAATTTATGGTTTACAAATACTTTACCCCGTTCCATAGGGTGTCTCTTCACTGTTGATTGTTTCCCTTTTGTACAAAAGCTTTTGGTGTGATATAATTCAACTTGCCTATTTCCACTTTTGTTGTTTGTATTTTTGATGTCCTAGTCAAAAAATCATTGCACAGACAAATATCATGGAGCTTTTCCTATTTTCCCCCAGTAGTTTCATAGTTTCACACTTTTACATTTGTCTGTTGTCCACCTTGAGTTGATTTTTGTATATATGAGTTAAATAATAACTTTCACTCCACGAATTCAGTGGCATTTTTAATGTCTTCTTCAACGTTTTATAACTTTCAATGTTCAGGTCTTTTATCCCCTTGGTCAGATTTATTCCTAAATAGTTTATTTTGCTGACAGCTATTGTAAATGGGATTGTTTATTTGATTTCTTTTTCAGACAGTTCATCGTTAACAGTATGACATTAGTAAGTTTTGTAGTCAATTTTGTATCTTACAAATTTACTGAATTCATTATTAGTTCCAATAGACTTTTGGTGGAGTCTTTAGGATTTTCTATATATGAGATGTTACCTGACATTAGGGACACTTTAAACTCTCTTTTCCTAAGTGAGTGCCTTCCATTTCTTTATCTTGCTAACTGCTCCCCATAGGACTTCCAGTAATACTTTGAACAGAAGTGGCAAGACTGGGCACCCTTACTTTGTTCTTGATTTTAGAGAAAATATGTCACCTTATTGTTGAGTTTGATGCTAGCTGGAGTCTCATCATACATGGTCTTTGTTGTGCTGAAGTACGTTTCTTCTATTCCTACTTTATTCCTACCTTACTTATTATGTTTAAAAAAATGTGTCTTTTGTCCTTTCTTCTATTAGTGTGGTGGATCACAGTTACAGGTTTGTATATGCTGAATCATTCTGCATCCCTGGAACCAATTCCACTGCCCCGAGAATGATTCGTTTAATGGTCTATTGAATTCAGTCTGTGTACAATTTTGTTGAAGATTTTTGTGTCTACATTCACCAGGGACATTGACCTATTCATTTTCTTTTCTTTTAAGTGTTCTTGCCTGGCTTTAGCATCAAGGTAATGCTAGCCTCATAAAACAAGTTTGAAAGTATTCCCTCTTCTTCCATTTTTTTAAAAAGTCTGAGAAGATTGGTATTCCTTGAATGTTCACAAGAATTCAACAGTGAAGCCATCCTTTAACAAGTTATCTATTAATAAATTATTGCAACTAATATTATTTTATAAAGTTTTGTCTCTTAACCTTCATATTAAAGACATAAATGACTTACACATTCATATTATTCTAAATTTAAATATGTACTTACTTTAACCAATGAATTTATACTTTCATATGTTATCATGTTACTAAGTAACATCCTTTTCTTTCAGCTTGAAGAAATCTCTTAGCATATCTTGTAAGACAGGTCTGGTGGTGATAAACTCTCTCAGCTTTAGCTGGGAAGGACTTTACCTCTTCTCCATTTCTGAAGGACGGCTCTACTGAGTACAGGATTCTTGGCTGGAAGTTTTATCCTTCAGCACTTTGAACGTATCATCCTACTCTCTCCTGGTCTGTAAGGTCTCTGCTGAGTAGTCCACTGCTAGACTTATTTGAACTGCCATATATATGATTTGCTTATTTTCTCTTACTACTACTTTCAAACTTCTCTTTTCTTTGATTTTTGACAATTTGATTATAACATGTCAAAACGTTAACATGTTATAGATTGAATCTGACTGGCGACCTACCTTTCTGTATTTGGATATTTACATCATTCCTCAGATTTCGAAAGGTTTTTTGTTATTATTTCTTTAAATAAGGTTTCTACACCTTTGTCTTTCTCTTCTTGTTGAAGTCCTGTAACTCAAATATTTGCTCTTTTGATGTTGTTTCATAAATACAATAAGCTGTCTCCATTCCTTTTGCTTTTTTCTCCTGACTTCATACATTTTCAAATAACCATTCTTCAAATTCAGACTCTTTCTTCTGCTTGATCAATTTTACTATTGTTGCTTTTTGTTGCATTTTTCATTCCATATATTTTTCAGCTCTAAAATTTGATTTTTTAAGTGATTCACTTTGCTAAATTTATCATTTTTGTCATTTATTGTTTTCTGTATTTGTTTCTCTGTATTTTACTGAACTTTGCAGTGTCACAAAAACAATTATTTTTATTTTCTCTTCAGGTAGTTTACATATCTCCATGTCTTTTGAGTCAGCTACTAGGAAATTATTGTGTTCTTTTGGAGGTGTTACATATCGTTGGTTTTTCAATTTTCTTGTTGCCTTATGTTGGTGTCTGCACACTGAAAAGTAGGGATTTATTCCACTCTTTGCAAACTGGCTTTGTCTGGGAAACCCCTTCACCAGTCAAGACATTTAAAGATTCTAGGCAAGCCATTTGGCATTGTCTGTGAGCAGGCTTGCTGCTAGAATTCTTCGATAGGAAGGCCTGATGCCTGGGTCAGCAGGGAAGAGCCTGAAACTTGGGTCCCTAAC